ACCCAAAAGACATCCAAGCTTATGTAATATTCTGGCTGTGACAAGTCAATATCCGATATCTATTATGCACTACTTAGTGATCAATACTTGTTACGAGGCGTTAATTTCCTCAATTTGAACGCAGCTCTGATTTAATCACTTAACTCGATCGATAAATTACGACTGGCAACGAGCGCGATCAATAAATCACCTCAGATCAATAGATCGTGGAATTTAAAGAGAAAATTATCCGATTCCGTGTTGTGTCCAGTGGCGGGTAAGTGAGTAATATTAAAAGGCAACAATTAGTTGGGTCAGTTCTTATTAGTTTTGCTGCAATTAATTTATAAATAATTAAGATGACGTATTCTAACGAGATTATTTATGGGTTTATTTAAATAAAGCTATTAATGTGTGTTATTAAACAGATTGCAGTGAAAAGTTCCCTATCGAGCCATCTACATGTGTAACCCTTGGAAGCCCCACAAAGCCATCTAAGTCTGTCGGGTATGTCGGACAAATTTATGCTTGAGTGCTAATAATGTTCAATCAATTGTTGTAGGGAAAACCTTTGGAGCGATAAACCAACAGAAAACCAAAAACTTTGACAGCCGTCGATGGGCGAAGAAGGGCCCATCTCCATTCTAGGGTCCGAGCCGACGACGACGACGACAATAAACTGAAATAACCATCATAAGTACTTCATGGATATGGATTGGTTAGGGAGGAGGAGCTGGCGGGTGCATGGAGGGGCGTTGGCCAAGCGCAACGAACTTGAGACTAAAACGCGCCCAAGATAATCAGACGGCAAAACCATAAACAAATAAAGTAAAAATCCAAGCAACGGCAACGACGTTGTCAGAAGGTGGACAACTTTGGAGTGCTCCGCTCCCTGGGTTTCTGTATCTCTACCTATGTATCCGTATCTGTATCTGTATCTGTGACAGCTGCGGTTCATTGACATTGAATGGGTGGGTGTTGTATGTTCTGTGTACTATGTGTTATGCGTTAGATGGGAGGGAGGACTTAGAGCTACGACTCAACTAAACTTTAGCCAGACTTGTCCCTTTTTGTCTAGCTCCATGCACAACTGCGTTTTTAATTGTGCGCCGGAATAAAAGGCGCACTCAGCACTGCACTTGTTCCGCCAGATACATGGCATAATAGGCCCAAGCTACTTTACTTACCACACGGCCCAAGAATATGTATCTCCATGAGGAATGTGGGTAAGGAGGCTCGGCATGCTCACGCGTAATTTCTACGAATTCATAAAAAAATACACACAAAGGCAGCTAAGACAATGAATGCTGCTGCAATGCTGCTAGATGCGAGTTGGCAGTTTGGAACTCGGCTCCTACTCGGAACCTTGAGGGTTGCATGACCTATATCACAGATTAGACCTAGGAGGACCCAGGAGCGATGCCTTCTTCGGGGGACTTTCCCATGGCAGCGGCACGTCTCGGTTTCGGTCCATATGACAAATGTTTCACATCACTGCCCCCCGACAACTGCAGCAATTACCTGGCCCTGCCATGCCTGCCCCGGACTCCTATGACTCCTCGGACTGCTCTCCTTCACCCCCCGGCGGCGTCACAGCTCAGTTGGCAGTCGTTGTGTCTTGCTGAGCTTCAAAAAAAATAGGAAAGAAAAGGCAGAGATACTGGATCCAGAAAATGCGCCCCGGGCAGGGTGAGAAAAAGTCGGAGTGCAAGGCAGAACAAGTGCTTCTAGTTGCCCGGCAGGATGTCATGACTTTATGGCCCAGCCCGCGGGTGGCTCCGGGTCCTGAAAACTCTGCAGTTTCCAGATTTCAGATTCTAGGATTCTGGGACGCACTCTATCGAACTGCTAATGCTGCTGATCACTCAATTAGACACAAAGTGAAAAGGGCATTCTGTAATTATATGGAAATCAGTTCAATTTTAAAAGGATGCGAAAATTTGAGGGTTGAATTTATGACTCAATTAAGGCGGAAAGGAAGTACGGGTTGTATATCAAAGGGTTACCAAGAGAGTCCTGCAGGGATTCTAATTACACCAACTGCCTCCGAATGCCTTCTTCCATTAGAAAAGGAAATTCATTCAATAAATTAAAATCAAGGAAATAATTACACAAAGCTACACAATAATTAGAAATGCAAAATACGTAGTCGAGTTATTAAACAATAAATAGAATATGTAGAAGAAAATTACATAAAAACCCAGTCTACCTAGTTTATGACGCAATTCATCCAATGACCCGCCGTAGAGCCACATTTCCTATATAATCAAAGTCATTCCATTTAAATCAATCCCGGAAAGCGGCTTATGGGGCTCGATCGGTGGGCTCTTTGGGTCCAGCTTCTAGCTAAGTTCAGTCGCAATCAGGGCTACAAGAAAGATATATGCCTCCAGAAAAGCATCGGCATCAAAATACACCGCTAAAGATCAAATTTAAGCCGATTTATTAGTGTCAGAAATGGTTGACAAGAGATCGAGGGGAGCAGGGCGAATACCTATGGCCTGTGGCCTATGGCTTTTGAAAAATTAATAAACTATGTAGGAAAATCTATGTAGATGGTGGTGCTGCTGCATTATGCAAAGCAGAGTCAGTGAAAAATTAAGCAGCTTTATCAGCATCCGAGCATCACCCGCATTCAAGAAGAGAGGCCCCAAAAAACCAGAGACTAAAGACTGAAGACTCCAAACTGGCCGTGGACTCATTAATTTAACTTTTGTTTGGGGGGGCCAGAGAGACGCACAGTAGTCGGCATTGAAGACACAAAGCCCAGAATGCCTAAATGGCTCATTAGGGTCTTAAATTAAAGCTACTTGGCCCAAGTCGGTCAACTAAGCCGACGTGCAAAGAAATGGGAAAATGTTAAAATGGTAAAAGGGGAAAAGAAAGCGGCTCGAAGACAAGACCACAATGCTGAACCCGAAGATACCATACCTTCAAGAAGCTACTGAGCTACCCCGAAATGAAGAAAAAGAACCGAGGGCAGGGCTGGGCTCTTCTTAGCCAGCTTAATTAAATTGCCATTGTCTCTTCTCACGGTCTGTGACAGGCGGCGATGTCGATTGCAAAAGAACCGCATACCTGAGAGGTAAATGGAATAAGTAAAATAAATGGGATGACACTCTGGTGTGGCGGATATATAGGAAATGGCATTTCCTCGCCCATATGGGTTAGCCGCAAATACCAAAGGTGGTATTGGGAGGAGGTGCGGGCCATACCCGTCTAATTCCTTCGCCCTGAATGGGCGGCCGAAGAAACGTCATCGTAGTCCAGCATTTTGCTAATCCCGAGAAAGACCTCAGCCTCTTCTGCTGATTCATTTCTCTGCCAGATTAGCCGATCGCGATAAGGAATGCTCATTTCTTCGATGAGCTCATCAAGAGCCAGCGAGGAGAAGGCAACCCTTTGTGAATTGCAACAAGATTTATCTTAGACGCTGCCACATCTCGTTGAGAACAAATTCTTCTTTCCGTCTTTCAGCGGGTGCTGGGCCCTGATCTTATCCCGGCTTGTTTTGAGTGCTTGTATTTATGTGATTTTATCGAGAGGGGATCGTAATGGGAAATGGCAACTCATTTCCAAGGGGGGCTCCTTATGAGCAATTACTAGGGGATGTCTATTAAAAGTTGAGTTGATTTATTGGTCTCTTATGGGTCAAGGGAAAGTCTTTACAGTTCAAACTAAGAGAAGAAAGAATAGCTTACAACATTTTCAGTTTTTATCCTTGTCAGCCTCAATTCTCACCCAAGATTATGTCATACCCAACTCGAGACCTCTTTGATTTCAAGGATTATCCACTGCCAGACGAATCCCTATAATTACACATCCCATAAATGGTCAACTGTTGTGTCTATGAGGAACTCCTTCCCAAAGCCAATCCCCCATTCGCGTTCCCTACCTGCTGCTATCGCCAAAAAGTGATCAACCGAGAGCCAGGTGATCACCGCGTCGCCCACAAAATTGCTGCCCGAAATAAGATATCTGCACGTAGCTGTAATTTAAAACTCCACCAAGCCGAATGGAAACGAAAAGAATTACTTCACAAAAAAATCGAAGAAGAACCGGAGAGGTATAGGGCCCCTTCGGGCGGGAACAACAACAAAACTACCAAAAAGACATTATCCTCCAGCAATAATTTCTCTTTCCCCCTGAAGAACAATGGAGGGTCTGGAGATGTGGACTGTACACGGAGAGGAAAAGTGCTTGCTACCTAAGAGATGTAAGTTTTTTGGGATTATTCTTATAAAAATTGCCTAAGATTTTATTAAATTAAATTTAACCTAACAAATTTTATTGGGATTCTAATATTAATGGTATAAAATAGTTTGACTTAGTTTTTAACATTTTATAGTCTTTATAATAAATAAAAAAAGGAAAATAAATAGAACAAGGCTCCATAAATAGCTCTCTAAATAAAATAATTTTTATTTTCTTAAAATTTTTCGAAATTTCTGAAATTTATTCTCAAATACCAACACCATATTTTCCAAGTGTGACGCTAGGGAACTGAAGATATGTCATTTGCCAGCCCGGCTGCAAAACGAAATCGAAGAAGCCAGCGGAGAAATGAAGATCGATGCTCTGGGCCTTTTTCCCTTCCCCGATGCCCGATGCCCGATCCCCGATCCCCTAACTCTGAACTCCGATCTCGGTCCCCTCTCACGCTCTCCCTATTCTTCTCCGCTGAGCAACATGTGCGCCGCTTTGTAACGCCAATTATGGTTCCATAATTCCAGGCTATTGTGAAAGACGTATTTGTATCTGTAGCTGGCATTGTATCTGTATCTGCTCGCTCCGGGAATTACAAGATCGTTTCACGGCAAGAGAACGTTCTCAGCGGAGCGTAGCCGAGCGGCAAATGAGCTGCGGGAGAGGAGTGAGCTCAGACCGAGTATCGGCCGCCTTTGAGCGCATCTTGGCCAGGTAAGCGATCGTACTGGCACTCTCTCTTTCTGAGGCAGTCGCTCACTCTGTTTTGAGTTTTGAGTGGAAAGCGGAATGGCTTGAAGACCGCTCTGTTTGGTCGCCGGAATCAGTTTGTTTGTGGACTCAGAAGTCGCCGGACGTGTGCGAACGGCACAGAATCGAGATTAAGAACGATCCGCAAAAGATACAGATACCGAAAGCGATATACGAGTGAAAGTGTACCGCCTTACTGGAGTTACTAAAGATACAGATACTGAGATACTCACAGATTAGGCAATATATAAGATAGCCATGGAGGGCCTGCCACGCGCATTAAACTACGAGCTCTCGCATGATTTGCATTTCGACCAGTACGCCGCTGGCGAAGTGGCCCAACAGATCCTGAACAGCGGGAAGAGTTCTCCCCCGGCAGAAGCATCCACGCCCACGATCTCCCTGGCCAACAGTGACTTCCTGAAGCAAATCGGCGCCCAGATCCTGAGCTCCATTCAGCTAAAGCATCGCCACCAGCTACCCAAGAACTCCAGCGAGGAGGCCATGGACTTCGACCTGGCCAACCGGGTGGTGCTGGACAGCAGCAGTGTGGACCAGTTGCAGCAGCAGCTGGAGCACGACAAGTTCATGAACGAGGTCTGGATCGGCATCGTCTTCACCCTAATCCTCATCTCGATGGTGTTCTGCATCTGCTCCTGCTTCCTGTACCACCAGTTCCGCACCTGGAAGCGCAATTGTAAGTATTTCGTCTCAGGAATCCATACCATCGACTCTAAAGTGTTGTGTTATCAAAGATTAAATTCTTATCGAGGGCTATTCCTGATTAGCCACCATAGAACCTGGTCAAGTGAATCACAATTCATGGCAATTGAAGACGCAAAAATTCCTAATTCTCCGATTCCAAGTGGCCTCGTAAAACATTTTACGGCCGAAATTAGGTTACCGGCTAAATGGAACATGATTTCAACAGCCATTAGAAGTGGAAATCTTTTGCGGCCAACTCCGTCACTTCGTCACTGCGTCACTCTGTCCCTCAGTGATTCACTTTATATTTGTCTGGCCAAAGGCCATATAGATCCATCTTATCTGGTCGTTAAAACTAATGTATTTCGTGCCCTGATGCCAAGTTCAAGATCAATTTCAAAATTTCCACGGCCAGCTTGCAATTAATATGGTAGAAACCTTGATGAAAATAAGCACGAGCTCAGGTGAAATTTAAGTGCTTGGAAAGCTGGCCAAGGTAATTACAAGCCAGAATGCAAGCCAGAGAAATTGTTTAAACAAGTTCATGACAATGAAATATCCGACAATGTGGCAAATAGAAAAATAAACAAATTAAAACTAGGTCGAGGTCTTTATAAATCTCACCCTTCCACAATCAGTGCCCAATAGCTGAGTGCCCAACTAATAATACTCTTTGTTTTGTGTTTTAGATCGCAACAATGCAACCAACTCGACGCAGTGCACCATTGTGGATATTGAGGCGCTGAAGCTGCATCCGGAGACGGAGGATCCAGTGCCGGAATACACACTGGTATCTGGGCTGCCCAGCTACGAGGCGGCCCTGGAGCTGTTGCAGAAAACACCACAATCTCAGTGCCTGATTGTGTACCCCAGTGTGTTCAATGTCTTCAATAGGCAAGAGCGGGCTAATTCGGATTCGCCGGCAGGGCAGGCAGCCGTGGAAAGTGCGGCTCTGCCACAAACACCGTCGTTGTGCGAGGCAACAACACCGCTGCTCCCGGCCACGGCAGCAACACCAACAGTTACACCAGCAACACCTACACCACCAGCAGCAGCAGCGACAGCAACAACAGCCACAGCAACAGTTACAACGCCCACATGCGAGGCGATTAAGCCAAGTTATGTGATGATGCCAATTGTGCCCAGTTATTCGGAGGTATTCGGCAGCTCCTACAAGACCGTCGACGAGAAAAAGAAATCGAAATCGAAAGACAGCCAGGTGAAATACGATGTCAAGCGGTAAATGCCATCTGTGGGGGATCTGTGTCGAAGCTACGCTTACGCATTGTATCTCTCGGATAGCGAACCCAATTAACTGAGCTCTGTGATATTTTCCTCCATTCATTCTTCATTCATGCTGCTGCAACTAAACTAAGCGCTGTGATTATCAAAAAGACGACAACGTTACTGAAACAGACTTCTCGGATTGTACTTAACGTCTTTGTATCCGGTACTTAAGAAACTTGAGAGAAGCACACATTGTTATTAGTAATAAGTAGGCCACAAACTAATTAATAAATTATACATAACAAATTTAATCCAAAACATGGTGTTACTGGAAGTTCGGGGGAGTTATCCGTTGGATTATTATTTTCCCATCAATCATCAGACATTGCAATTGATTCATTGATGCCACGGCAAGGGATTTGATTGACATCGGGAACAGATGGCATGCAAATCCTTTGGCCAAGTCCTTTATATAAATAGCTCACAGCTTCCGAGGCAAATGCCAAAGCACAACAACCCACCAGATTGAGATACCCAACGCTGTTTCAGATAGATAGATAGATAGATGGATGGTTGGATAGACAGATAGAGACAGTTTGATTTGACATTGAGCTGAGGACGTGCAACAGCAACTACTAGTAGTGATACTGCTGGGCACATTGCATTTGTGCAATTGTAATTTCGTATTGATAAGCCAGTTGTAAGGCCATGTGTAGGTATGCAAATCGCTTCTACAGAGACAATGGACATAATAAATGATCTCAAACACTGTTTTCCATCGGTTCTGTGCACGCGGCAGTGGACGTGACTGCGACTCCGAGGAAAACGTGGCCAAGACTAAAGACAATATGTGTTGTGGTAGGTCTCACCTGGTAGGAGTTTTCCAGTTTTTTTTACTCGGTGCTAAGTAGAAACACTAGCAATACCAATTGGCACTAACAAATGAAATTATTTCTATGGAAATGTATTTCCCAGTGTGCTCTATTCTTTATCATCGTTTATATATTTTAATCGTTATTGTTGTGTTCATAGATTGCCGGTTGCAGTTGCTATTTCCGTGCCTCGTCGTTATTGTTATTATTATTATTGTATGCCATTTGAATGGGTAAGCAAATAACTAGAAATCCACAGGTGATAATGCGAATAAATCGCATATACGGGAGCGCCATAAAGGCAATTTATCTTATGGCGATAGGGGATCGGGGATCGGTGATCGTTGAAATGGGTGCATGGGTATGCGAGACTTCTGGGGGAAGAACCTCTTGAGGTGACGGAAAAGACATTAGCATATCGGTGGGAAACGCTTATGCAAAAACAATCATTATTAATTGCGATTGCGGTGTAATTTACGATCACCCATAGTTTATATGACAGCTTATGACATATCCCCCGATGTGACGCCTATCATGCTTACTGTGTCTCGAGTCTAGAATCTATAAATATTTAAAGCCCGGCTTTCACAAATCCGTGCAAATGATCTACAGACCGGGTCGTGGTCTGGCCAAATAAAAGTCGCTGTAGTTGCCACAATGTGTGCAAATTGTTTAATTAGAAATCTCGAGAAATTCCGGGTAACGCGTGTCCGAAACCATTGGAAATCCGCTCACGTTCGTTGCCAAGTCTTCGCGCCAAAAAAATACTTTTATTTTTATTTTTTTTTAAATACCTTTCAGCCTCAGTTCTGGATACTGGATTACTCAAGCCAGCGGCCTATTACGCGGCTCCACACCCAGTTATTCCATCACTTCCATTACGGGGCAGTGCAAACACAATACTCCCAGTGGATACTTAAAATTGCTGTTAATGAGTTTTAGTATCGGGCTTTATGTTTTGCGTGCTAATTGCTAATGCCAGGCTAATGGGTTAAAGCCTAATCGGTTATGAAAGAAAATTGCCACTTTTTGCACAGTTTCAATGCTTGCAAATGTTTTCATTTGTTTATGCTTTCACCTTGACGGCCAGAGTAGTCACGGCTTTAAAGCATTTTCATTTTTATTTCACTTTTTTTCTATTTCGATTAGCATTGGCATTGCCGGTTTTTACGGCTCTAGCCATGAAAACATGTGTAGATCGCACAGCACATCAAAATATTATACAACATAAACAACATAATTAGCTCGGGATGCAAATCCCATCGACAGCGAGAAAGCGCATCCAAAGGGCAATTTATTAAAAAACCATCCATTGAAAATGCAGTTACAGTGAAAAGAAAATCGGAGGGATTCTAAGACCATAAGGAAAAATTTATATCTAATAAAGAATAAGAAGTAAAAGTTTTAGACCATTTTTTCCCAAAAACTATATTATATTAATTAAAATTAATTCTCTCTATAAAATTTCTCTCTCTGCATGGGTGAAAGTTACAGGTTGGATGTCGGGCACAGGGCAATGAGCAGATAGCAGAAGGCACACTCACGGCTTAACCCCAGAGCTAATGAAACGAACAATTTATTAATAAAATGCACATTAGCCCACGTTTATGGCTCCTCACAACACGCGGACCTACTAGCTGAATGAATTTTCAATTAAGCGCCAAATTTGTGGCTCGAACTCGCACCGGGGCTCAAGCTCAGGCCTGATGCTAATGCTGGAAGTTGTATCTGGAAGATACTGGCACTACAGGCATCCCAACTCCAAACTCAGACGACGAGCCGCCGATGTTTGAAATCGAAACCGGTTGGTCAAGAGTTGTTGGCGCAAAACCGCAGCCACGACAACGTCATACGCAACATTTGACCCACTTTTTTGTGCAGACTAAAAGGCTAAAACCAAAACCAAAACAGAAATTAAAATTAAAATAAATAAAAAAGGAACAAATTGGCAAGCCAGCCTTCTCCGCGATACCAAATGCGTTTCTATAAATACATTTTTTTTTTGAGCAAACCAAAACAAAACGCGCCATAAAAACGTATTTTTATTAATAAACAAAAACAAAAGAAAAACTTATTTAAATCGATTTTAGCCTCGAGTCACGTAGACAACAATGAAAATAAATATTTAAATCGGCGAGGCTTTGTAAATACTAATAAGCCAATGTTTAATTATTGATTTAAGCCTGCTGACCCAAAAACCAAAGCTTATTTAAAAATATTTTACTTTTCAAGGTGGATTGCTGGAGGCTGTGGGCCTTTAGTTATTAAGAAATATTTATTCTTATTAAAAGATGAACACTGCCTCGAGATTGTTTACTTACAGGTTTAATCTTTAATAAATTATTACAATACAAAGGTTAATAAATTTTAGTTTATTTAAGAAAATATTTAGCAACTTGATGTGTTTACTGCTGTAATACGCCAAGTGAGAATGCGGCTCTTGAGAAAATATTTATCAAAAACCTTAACGCATCGTCGTAGATAAAAAATAGAAACACAAATTAAAAGCTTCCGTTTTAAAATAAATGGTCAGAGTCAAGGCAAGGGTTCTGAGAGCCTGGTGTGCCACAAACAGCTTGCAGATATAAGTTCTAGTATTTAGATTCTAGAGGTATCTAAAATCTATGGCTTTGATTTGGAAAATGAAAAGGTCATATTTTATTGAATTAGTTGTAGAGGTTTTGCTGCAATCTCAAGTGCTGAAGTTTTATGCAAAATCTCTGTAAAAATATGCATATTTTACCTTACAAAAGAAAAATCAAAATTAAATTCTAGCTTCGTAAAAATAAATATAAAAAGTTGGAGTTTGGAGCGTTCCTGGAAGATGGTCGGTGAGGAGCAAAGGAAAAACAAATAAAAATGCAAATAAAAGTTGTATGACTCAAAGTTATGGGCATGCTGCAAGATACTGTATCCAGCTCGTAAAATCCAAGAGGAAAGAAAACTACGACGCCCGAACGAACGAGTTAACTGCGATGCGCTAACTGTTCCTATCTTGCCACATCAAGAGTGCAGCATCAGCAGCAGCACCAGCAGGGGGGGATTTGGATTCGGAATTGGGATTGGGATTGGAACTGGGACTGGGACTCCGAATGGGATTTGGTAAGGGGATTGGGTGCGCACAGCGGTAAGGCAGACGCAGATGCAGATGCAGACAAAGATACAGATACATATAAAGTAGGTTGCTGCAGGTTTGTTTTTCCTGATAAGCTCGCGCCGCGAGATTAGCCCGGTTTTCGTTTCACTCTTTTTTGTTTTTCCCCCTTTCGGCCCTGTTCTGCGTATTTGGCTGAGGTTTAATTTTATGGGCCAAAGATTTTATTTTGTAACTTAATGTTTGTTTTGTTTTGGTACGAGATTTGAAGCAGCAGGTTGTTGGATCTTCTCTTATTTTTATTATTCCAATGGCTTTCATCGGAAAGAAGAACCATTTATGTTTTATGGCCCTTTACTTCGATGCACTTTAATTGCCAGCCATTTGTCAGATGGCTAATAATGTAATTGTTTTATGAATTTGGCCGATTACGCCCCATACCCCCAATTGGATTACCAAAATTTTATCAAACCTCAATCGGTAATCTTATCAAAAATTTGACTCTCGGCGGCTAACCAATCATGTAATTGGCCTTAATTTGCAAAACGAATCGAGTTAACACTCAGCCGGCTAAACAAATATTTTAATTAACTATTTTAATTGTTGGCTGCAATCAACGAGCCATTCAGCTGTACTTCATTTAATGAGTGTCGCTTAAACAGCCACAAAATCAAGACTGTTTTTTCTTATTTTTGCACAGAAATTAACAACCTAATCAATGTTTAATTATAGGAACAATCTCTCTGACTTCTGAGTCGCTTAACCGGTTGGGGCATAAGACTTCCGTGCTATTTGAAAGCTTCATGCTTGGGTGCTCAGGGCACCCCCGGAAAGATATAGGGTTAAACCTTCCAAATTTGCCAAAAGTCGATAAATTTCTTATCTAACAACGAATATTCTCAATGAGGGAAGTAAGACTCTTTCAATATTCAGTTGGGAGCCATGACTTCCCCTAGACGTGTCTATTATTGGGTATTTCTTGCCTTAATATTATTTTTGGTAATTACACTTCATTTTAATATTAGAGCCATTCAAAAGGAAAATACTAAAACAAGTGACCAAACATCGATGTATGATGAGATCAGAATTCTGTGCATGATACCCTATAATTATCAGAACCCCAATTCGGCAAAGTACGTGAAACGAACTTGGGGAAAGCATTGCAATGTTTTGCTTTTTGTGAGCGGCTACGTCGACGATGAACTGGAACCCTACGTGCCCGTGGTGAATTCTACGGATACATGGACCCTGGTCCACAAGGGCCTGATACACGCCTACCAGATGTATGGGGACAAGGCCGATTGGTTCCTCCGGGCGGAGGACAGCAAGTAAGACCCTCTATTTCATTCCCCAGATCATAACTTAAAATGAATTGCTCTAAACAGCCATAAATTGCCGATGAGAGCTCTTTGTCATTTTAGTTTATCGCTTGCTTATTGTTATGGCAATCAAAATATTCGATTCTTACTCTTTAATGCACTAAGAAAAATAAGGGATACAAAATTATATGAGGTTATTATAGAGTAAGGGAATTTGTAGCCTAAATATTTCATCAACTATCATTAGTATGTGGAAAGTAAACTTTTTCTGTTCTTGACTCTTGAATTTTGTAATATTTTTAGTACAATATATTTTGTACCAACATTTTTTCTCAGTGCTTTATTGATGGCTGTGCATTATTTCTCTTCATTCTTGATGTTTATTTTTATGAGCACCGAGTTCGGTGGCCGCCGCGCTCAACATATTTTGACTTCTTTCATTGATAAAGTTATCAGTCAGCCTTCGGCGGTGTTTGTTTGTGCTTGGGTTTGGGTTCGACTTGCTGTTTTCTTCTTATATATACAGATATTCTCTTTTTTATTTTCCGATGTTCCCGTTTAGGTTCCCAGTCGGTTCCGTTCCATTCTTCTCGCCATTGTAGTTCGATTTTTCCTCAGCACCGCTCCGACTTCCTTTTGTGGTTTGGCCCACAGAGAGTTTCCTTTATCGGAGGTTGAAGGAAGTGCGAGTATCTAAAGGCGGTAGTTTATCTGGCCTTTGTAGGGGCACACAATGCTGCCACTGCCCCACCTCCAGTATCGCTCCCTTTTTCCCTCAGTGTCGCCGTGTCACTTGATTGCTCTCCGGGGAGGTTTGCCTTCATAATTGGTACAAATTTTCTTTTCGAAATTGGAAATGAAAATTTTCCCATGGATTTTCATTCACGGCGCGTCATTCCATTAGCATAGTTTGTGTTAGATTATGCAGATAAGTTCATTTCGATTTACAAAAGGGGTTTCCAGGGCCCCTGAAATCAGATTAGCAGAATAAACAATCCAAAACAAATATAAGAAATTCGAAAAACATATGCGTCAATCAAAATCTATCAAATATGGGTCAGGTGGTGTCGCTGACATTCGTTTTTCCAAATGAACTTATTGGCGATCGGGGCTTATCAAGCTTTAAGATTTGCGCATTTTGCAAACAAGCGATTTAATTAATTGATTTATTTATGTTTACAATTACCCAGTTAATGGCTACGCCAAGATCCGATTTTTAAATCCACTTGCCTTTGATAAGAGGAGCTCCTTATCAACAGACTATTGGGAAAAAGTGCGTGCCCCCAGAGGTCAATGGAGTTGTCCATAGAAACAGCTCTTTTCTTAATTTATGTCGTCATACATAATTGGAAATTTATTGAGTCTGTTGTCAACACCAAGGCATAGAATATTACGAAATCAATTGAATTAAAATTAGAATTTTCGTTCCCGGCTAAATCGACGTTGAAATGACTTGATAACTCGACTCGACAGATACTGCGCGTGGTGGTCGTTGACCGGCAATTAAGACTTTATGACTTTAGTAACAGTCATTAAAACTGGTAGTTTTATGGCCCAACTTTGGCTATGGTGTAGAAAAACTTCAAAACTATTCAATTGTGAATTAAGAATCTTAGCATCTCGGATCACGGTGAGAAATTAATACATCAAAGAAGCCTTTTGAAGAATTGAAGATTATGGCTCTCTAAAATATATATACGTCAGTCAGGTATATAGCACTTCATCGCAAAAAAATTATCAACAATTACTGGTATCGTGGTCCGGTTGTTTGGCAAATAAAAAACTAAATAATGGAAGAAAAAAACCCAAAATGTTTATGTTCTTCCATATTTTTGTTTTCGATTTTTTTTTGGCCAGAGATGTTTACGCCGCACATTTGCGGCTTGAACTTGGACTTTGTTTGCTTTGCGTGTCTACGATTCATTCAAAAACGGATCTTGCCATGTTGTTGACACGGTTTTCTTCTAAATGGCAATTGTTTACCTTTCGTTCTACGCTTATTCAAATTTTTTTCAAACATCCATATACCCCCAGCCACATAACATTTGTACATATTTGTCCGGAGTGTTTGTATGCAAACAGCAGATCAAAGATGGATTTTTATTGATATGCACGATTTTGCGACTTGAATGACGAATGAGTGACTATAGTTGGCATAAAAGAAAATTTCTGCCTGGGTCTTAAGTGCTTTTTTGTTCACAGTTTCGTCGTTCTGGAGAACCTAAGGTATATGATAGATCGCAAAAAATATTTACCCTCCCAGCCGATTTACTTTGGCTACGAACTGGAGAATATCTACACTCATGAGGTTTGTTCGCAAAATGAATGTAGGATCTTTTAATTATTTTATGATTCTTCTATAGTCTTTTATATTTTTCAAAAGTGGCTACGTTATGAGCCATGAAGCCTTGAAAATATATACTGAGATGTCCAAGGAGCTCCAAAATGAACACTGCTTGCACTTGGAAGGATTTACGGAGGATGTGGAGCTACAGAGATGCCTAAGTCACGTGAATGTCAAAACAGTAGACTGTCGCGATGAACTTGGTCACGAGACCTTTTCCCCGATTCCCATGTATTACCATTTTTTGGACGGCTATGGTTTTATACCTTGGCTGAAGAATTTAAGTTTCAAAAAAGTTGAAGAGGTAAAAACCTAAAATAATATTTTTTAAATAAACATTTCTTGGTTATTTTCAGGACACAGTACCCCTCTCCAGACGAGCCATATCATTTCGTGTTTATTATCCTCCTGAAATGTACGATTACTATTATTTGGTTTACAAAACGAGAATCTTTGGACAGTTCTCGCCCAACTCTGTAGAATTTCAGACTTAATAAAGGACTCACCTCGGGCAGCTGTCGCTGATGATTCAATTTCGGGAGGAGAACTTCCTAGTAATTTGAAGTACCCCAGGACTGGTCCGCATAATTCATTTCATATACGTATGGAATATATGGGAAGGCTGGGAAAAGGGGGAGGATAAACGTGTTCATCAATGAATCTGTCGTCTGAGCCTGGAGTCTCAATTTTCCCAAAGCCCTTTGTCTGCAAAATTACTTCCGTTTTCCTTCGTTTTTTTCCTTTTATTTTGTGGCCTGGAACTGCAACTGCAAAGTGTCATTGTTGCATCATGTCTGGGAGATGGAGATGGAGAGGAAATATATCCGTATGTGAATGCAATATTGCACTTTTGCCTGCTTCCTGTAACCTTAATCATGTGTGGGCCAGATTGTTACCTGTTAAGGTAACTTGATCACGTAAACTGAGACATTAATACGCAGGTCTTCTTATGTTTCGGGGGACAGTTTCACCTGAAAGTGTATTTGCTCACATGTCATCATTGAAATCTATACATAAGCGCATCTTTGTTTTTGCAACAATGGACACAATCGATTGAAATATGTTTTTTCGTTTAAATGGGATGCTTGTCCGTTTTTTGTTGGTGGGAAATCCAAAAATAGACTCGACACGAGCATCTATGCAAATCTGGGAACGTGTTTCCAACCCATACAAAGTTGTGGCCTTAAATACCGTGAAATGTGTCATAACATGGCCCAAAGATAAGCCGGAATGTGTGTTTGTGGGATGAGATAACTAAATAATCGATACTCGGATATGCATATCTGGCTCTGTCTCTGAATGTGATTGATTTTTTGAAAAAGGCTTCTTGTTTTGCAACTTACAAAGTCCAGATAGATTTCCTGTCTGACCAACCCTTTGAATTTGGCCATTTAATTTCCGTTTGATGGGCTTTCCACTCCCAAAATGGAAGTGGCACTCTGCTCGTGTCACTTCCCCACTTTCAACTGCAAAACTTTGCATCAACTCCCCTGCCATTGCCAACTTTGAAAGACGATGGCCAAACGTCTTCGATGGCTTCGTCGTCGTCAGGTGGGTTAATAATTCTAATTGAAAAAGGCAATTTGTATGCGGCGAGTCCAATCAGGCGGCGGCAAAGCGAGCCAAAGCAGTGCCTTTCAGACAAAAGCACTCAATATAATTAAATTGTCGACGGGCCACCCAGCGGCACCAACGACTTCAACACCACCGTTGCCGGCACCTGAACTATCTAAACCGCAGCTGGATGAGGAGGTAGTTTCATAATGCCACGGCTACTCAATACGCGCCGCCTCTTCCTGGGCAGCAAGACCCGGGTCAGTCCCTGCAAGGGAATCTCCCTGCTGCTCCTGGCCACCACTTGTGTCCTGCTGATGCTGCAGCTCAAGGTTCAGATGGACTCCCGCCTCTCGGGTCTCCCGACAACAAACACTGCCCCAGCGCCTCGAATTTTTTGCATAATTCTCTGCTTTGAGTACCGCCATAACTATGCCGGGATTCACGTCCACCGGACCTGGGCCAAGCACTGTGATCACTTTGTGTTTGTCAGCGACGATGTCCACCACATTCTGGAGCCGGTGGTGTTTGTGGATTTGCACGACAATTGGCATCTGTTACGTGCTCATCTGGAGTACGTCCACAACTATCATTTCCATCAGGGAGATTGGTTTCTCTACGCCCACGATGACAAGTAAGAAAGGAGAGGTCTGCACTGCACGAATAATGTGGATCTATTGATTTCTACAGCTTTGTGGTGGTGGAGAACATCCGGGAAATGATAAAGCCCTACAGCCGCGATGAACTCATTTACTTTGGCTGCAAAATGAGGGACTCCAATAGTTTGGTAAGTTAGATTCCGTACTGGTACTTCCGGGTTAAACAACTTCTATTTCTCTAGCCTTATATGTACTACAAGAGTGGAATTCTCTTCAGTGCTGCGTCCCTTAAGCGTTTCGTCCTGGAAGCCATGCCCAATGAAAGTCTTTGCAGTTCTCAACCAAGAGGAGATAAAGCCACCGAGGAATTGGGCCTGTGTCTCAACAATGTTGGAGTTATTGATGGCGATAGTCGCGATGAGTGGAAAGGACACCGATTCCTACCTTTCGACTCAGAAATACACTTGGGTAGCAAACTAAACGAATCCATAAGCGAGCACAAGCATTTCTTAGATAACTCTTATTATCCAGTAAAGGATGTGAGTAAATAGCGAACTACTTTAAAGATTTTTGATAAATATTTTACACTTTTCAGAAGCAAATTCCTGTGTCTGTAAGATCGGGTTCCTTCCCCTTGAATCAAATTGAAAATTTATACGTCTTGTATTATTTAACATATAACGTTGGAATTTTTGGAGCTCCAAGAGAACAGGAGCCACAAACACCCAACCTATTGTCAGATGTCGAATCTTTGTTAGAATCTTAGATCTTTTTATATTGGAAAGCTATTCACAAAGTCAGGTTTAAAAAAACCATCTCTGAGTTTAATGAACTAACCTAGATAATGGCAAGATGGTTGAATTAAAATATACACTATCACAAAGTTTAGCTTGTCTTCACTTTATCCCAAAAATGCTCCAGTCTTTGATTGTCTTTGTAGCCAAAGCTCCAGCGCTGTTTGGGGTTATTTGGATCGCATTGCCCGGTGGTCACTCCTTTGGCGTCCGGCTGGATTTCCAGGCAGCGCCTGGAGCCCTTCATCTGGCCATGGACCACCTGCTGGCTGGTTGTGTTGAAGGACCAAAACTGATTGCCCTGCTGGCCGTGGCACTGGAACACGTAAACCTCTCCCAGCGGATTGCGCACCTCCAGGCAGGTGGAATCCGAACGCAGCTCCCTGCGATAGGTAAGGGTCCATTTCATAAGATCCGAATCGGGGAATTTATGCTCGATGGGGCATTGACTTAGCTTGGGTTTGCCGGGACTATCCTCCGTACGATTAAGACATAGCTTGGGGGAAGCCAGACTTTGCAAAACCCCAAAGGCAAAGTCCGAGGTCTCCACCACAGGATAGAGATTTAGGAAATCCTCGGCAAGATGGTCGAGAAACCACTTGAAGGGTTTGCAGTGCAGCCGCTTTTTCAGAGCCCTTGCTTCGGTCAAGCTACCCACCTTGATGACGGTCAGGTGGGGTATCTCCTCGAAAAGCTTGTCCTTGTAATCGTCCAACCACACCTCAGCCACGCGGCGGTAGTTCTGGAAAATAGCACAATTTAGTAAAGCTTCTATGGATCTCCCCACCTGACTTACTCTCGAAATAACCTTCTTTTCATACTCCTTAGATTGCTGCGTGTAGTGTATGTGGAAGCTTGGATCCCTGTAAAGGTGACCCACCCGGGAGCAGGGCACTTCCAGTATCCTTCCTCCGCACAACCAGATCTTCAGGCTCAGTTCGAACTGCTCGGCTCCCCAGATCTTCAGACCCTTGTCGTAGCCACCGAGTTCAAAGAACCACTGCCGTCCAATGGCGAATAGACCTCCATTCATGATGGGGTTATCGTGGGGCGCGGGCAGAGCCAATACCTCCTCCTTGAGCAGCGGGAGTTGTATGTAGTTGAACTGCCAGTTAAAGAAGCCCCGGGATGGCTTACCCCTCCGGTAGGCAAAGTTGTCATAATCGATGGTGTCAATGATTGGAGTAGTGCAGGTCCTGTTGTTCTTCAAAATGGGGGCTATGAGGGGCTCCAGCCAGCCATGGGTCACCTCGACGTGGGAGTCCAGGAAAACCAGGACATCCGCCAGAGCCAACTGGGCTCCAGTCACTCGAGCCTTCATCAGACCCACCTGGGTGTCCAGCCGGTGATGCTTGACCATGTTGAGGAACTTGATCCGCAGGAGGTCGTTCAGCTTGGGGTCCACCTTGGTGCTGCCATCGTCCACCAGAATGATCTCCCGGAGGAGGCGTCCGGGCGTCCGTTTCCGAACGCTGCTCAGTGTCCGGAGCAGAACGCTCGCCTCTTCGTCATGATAGGTTATCACCACACTCACCGACGGAAGCTTTTCCAGCGAGTACTCGAGCTTTTTGCAACTGTGGGATGGTAGGACCGTAAGAGTCAGAGATATTCGCGTAATAGAGATGTCAAGTTGGCGGATATTACTAAAAAATATACTGCCAAAAAATTTAAAAAATAAACAAACATTATTGGCCCCACCATTCGAAGAGAGGACCCCAGAGATAAGCAGTGGAGCCCACTCTTATACCACCTACCGATAGCGTCACATTCCATACTCTCTCTTCGAACTCACCTGCGATGCCGCATGTCGTAGAGCGAGCGCTCCAAAGAGATGCGCTCCGAGAGCCAGCTGTTGAAGCCCACCGCCCGCAAGCTCTGATCCATGGCCTGGCGCTCCCCCTCCGTCCAGTTCCTCCGCGCCGGTCGCCCCAAATCCCCCAGCTGGGGCACCACTTTGGACTCGAACGCCGCCTGCAGGTCGCTTATCTCCCGCTCCAGTCGCGATGTCATGGACGTCGGCGCCGCCAAGCCATCTTCCCGCTCCAGCCTTAGAGTGCACCAGTAGAAGATTATGCTGCCGGCAGCCGTCAGCAGTAGCAGCAGCAACACCTTCTTCTTGTGCCGCAAAATCTCGATGCACATCGTACCACAGCACAGCCGCCCGAAACTAAGATCAACTTTCGGCTTAAACCGCACAGCGTTTTGGCCAAGACTAAAGCTTCGGGGCTGAGAGTGTGACTAGAGTGGTCTTCTACGCTAATAAAGCCATCTTATACGGTGTGAAAGTTTTCGATTCGGTAGCAAAGGGGCGGGCTTATTCAAATTTTGGAGCCAAGTGGCATGGGCGCTTGGGGGCTTAGCTTTTAATAAATATAATGATAAATTATATTGGAAATAAATCAGGAAATTAAATTGTCTTATTGTATTATTTATTAATATCAATTAATTTTTTTCCAAGATTTAAGTAAATATATTACCCTTCTTTACCCTACAAAATATTAGTCTCGCCCTAATGAAATTTTAATCGCCCTTTAATATATTTATTAAAAAATATATAGCTCTATATATAGATCTTATGTTTAATCTACAGTATTATGGCCTTTTTCATCCGGTGTATGTACATTTTCGGATAGTGTCTATTGCCCCTAGATGGACTAAGAACAGCACGACAAAGAAGCAACCTTTAAATGACCCGAAATATCAATATTATTATATTGTATTTATTATTTATCAATTTATGTTACTAAAGAATTTCAATAGTAATTCTTATATTGTGTATTACACCCCAAGTTAACACTAAATAAAAGCCTAAAAAGCATCCCCTTCCATGGCTTCTGGGTTGGGATGTTCGAATACCCATTTCTGTCTGGTGTTATTCTTTCTACAAGGAGTCATAATAATGCCTCTATTATCACTCAGTTCTAGACACTTTGAACTGCTAACCAGATAGTTGCTGGCTTCATCGTAGTGCCAATCTTGGCGACCTCCTAGATTGTGGCAGAAGTTCAATCCCAAAGTCAGATTCTGTAGAACTTCCAGGCAGATAACGGCTCTGACACGCAGATCGTTCAAATAGGTGAGAGTCCAGTTCTGATGGATACTATTTGCCCTACATGGCTCTAAACTAAGCCGAAATTTCCTATTAACCGTCAGACAACTCTTATCAAGTACAAAGGGTCTGATGGAACCTGAGCCACGATCCGTACGATTTCTAGGAGTTATTTGAAGAAGTGCCGGCATGACATCGTCAACAAAGGACATAAAGGACTGGCAGTCGTGTTCCTTATACGAATTCTGAGACTCACTTAGGTCACCCTCAGACTTATTTTTAAGATGGGGCTGGTAACGATAGACCAAGTCCTTCAAGATGGGATTGTCTATCCAGAGTTCTATGATGCGTTTTAGGTTCTAAAATCAAAAACAATTAATCTGAGATAAATCTTGAAAATATAATGTTTATTTTTTTACTTACCCTGGACTTACTCTCCCCCAGTATATTGAGATCTCCAAACCGTCTCAGATAGTCCTGATCCCTCGGCTCCAAGTGACCAACTCTCGAGCAGGGAACTTGGACAACACGACCTCCACTTCGCCACACCTTGAAACTCAGCTCAAGCTCAGCTCCTCCAAATCCTTGAAGGTTCGTATCGAAGTCAGACAGGTCTTGGAACCACAGAGAAGTTATGGCGAACACGGGACTCCGCATGAGAGCAACTTCATAGGGTTTCGGAAGGCTCTGGCTTTGTGCCTTGGTCAGGGGAACTTCCCGCCGACTCAGACTCCAATCGAAGATGGCTCGCTTTTCTCTGGAACGCCGATACTCCATGGTTTGCTCATCAATCCGATCCAGAACTGGGATGGCCAAGGCCAGAATATTTTCAGTTATGCTGCCCAGCAAGGGGGTTAGCCAGCCCTCAGTCACTTCCACTTGAGCGTCTACAAAGACCAAGGTGTTCGTCTTGGCCTCTCTAGCGGCAAACACCCGAGCTCTGATCAGACCCACCGGTTCCTGCAGGTGAAAAATTCTAGCGTTGGTGTAGAGATACCTCCGTATATAGGAGTCGAAGAAAAAGAGCGATAGCTCTTCTGACCAGAAACTGGCATCACTGTGGTCATCCACCAAAATAAGTTCATGGTATAGATGCCTCGGAGTCCTGGCCACCAAGCTATGCAGAGTTCGCAGTACAACCATCAATTGCTCATTCCGAAAGATCACAACCAGGCTGGCTGGTCTCATTTCATCCCAGTTCTGTTCGTGTGTATAGTACAGGCAGCGTTTATCCCTGAAATCTGGAAGAGAGCGACTCAGGGGAATCCTCTCGGCCAGCCAGGCGTTGTATTGGTATCTCTGCCAGCCCCGCGAATAAGCCACAATCTCGTCTGGAGGAATACTTGGCCATGAGGCGGTGCCGTTTTTACCCAAGTCCTTCTGTGAAATGGATCCCATGAGTCCATCCCATTGGCTCAGCTCCCTGTGCTGAAGGAATAGCACAAAGGAAGTCCAAGCCAAGAATGCCAAATATTTCCAAAGAGGCAGCTGACTCCAGTAAGTATTTTGTAGAGACCGTGTCTCCATTGCTTTCAAGCAACTGTTTTAACTCTACAATATTTTTTAAAATTAAAACTAAAGCATGTAATTATAATAAGCGGAGAGGATTCGATATGTTTTTTATACCTAAGACACTGAAAAAATATGTTTAAGCCCTTACCCTCTATATTATAATGAACAAAAAATCTAAAAAGTATTTTGTCTCGGGATTTTGATGCAGAATGGTGGAGAATCGATCCAGAAATCGTTTAAGGTACTCCGCTTGAGAATCGGATGAGAATTGGGGAAGATATAGCCATCACTGTGGACCCCATAGGGGAAAACACCATTTCCAAGGAAAACACCATTCCATCACGAAAAATGGACAAAAAATCTAAAAAATATTTCGTCTCAGGATTTTGATGCAGAATGGTGGAGAATCGATCCAGAAATCGTTTAAGGTACTCCGCTTGAGAATCGGATCAGAATTGGGGAAGATATAGCCATCACTGTGGACCCCACAGGGGAAAACACCATTTTCAAGGGATCCCATCACAAAAAATGGACAAAAAATCTAAAAAATATTTTGTCTCAGGATTTTGATGCAGAATGGTGGAGAATCGATCCAGAAATCGTTTAAGGTACTCCGCTTGAGAATCGGATCAGAATTGGGGAAGATATAGCCATCACTGTGGACCCCACAGGGGAAAACACCATTTTCAAGGGATCCCATCACAAAAAATGGACAAAAAATCTAAAAAATATTTTGTCTCAGGATTTTGATGCAGAATGGTGGAGAATCGATCCAGAAATCGTTTAAGGTACTCCGCTTGAGAATCGGATCAGAATTGGGGAAGATATAGCCATCACTGTGGACCCCATAGGGGAAAACACCATTTCCAAGGAAAACACCATCCCATCACAAAAAATGGACAAAAAATCTAAAAGATATTTTGTCTCTGGATTTTGATGCAGAATGGTGGAGAATCGATCCAGAAATCGTTTAAGGTACTCCGCTTGAGAATCGGATCAGAATTGGGGAAGATATAGCCATCACTGTGGACCCCATAGGGGAAAACACCATTTTCAAGGGATCCCATCACAAAAAATGGACAAAAAATCTAAAAAATATTTTGTCTCTGGATTTTGATGCAGAATGGTGGAGAATCGATCCAGAAATCGTTTAAGGTACTCCGCTTGAGAATCGGATGAGAATTGGGGAAGATATAGCCATCACTGTGGACCCCATAGGGGAAAACACCATTTCCAAGGGATCCCATCACGAAAAATGGACAAAAAATCTAAAAAATATTTTGTCTCTGGATTTTGATGCAGAATGGTGGAGAATCGATCCAGAAATCGTTTAAGGTACTCCGCTTGATAATCGGATGAGAATAGGGGAAGATATAGCCATCCCTGCGACCCATATAGCTATATCCTAGAGCTGCCACAAATTGGTTTTATAATTAAATTTGAATAAGGACCGGCCTCTTATATTCGATATTTTGCTACAAACATGCAGTCTTAACCGCAAGGGTACATTACCTTCGGCTTTGCCCGAAGTTGGCTTTCTTTTTTTGTTTTAATTATCAAAAATATCATTTTCAATCAGTCCTAATTTCCTCAAATATTTCAAAGACCAGGAATCCACCTTTTTTATTTGTTCAGGTGTTAGTTCATCTTTATGGGTTCCTATCACTCCTTTTCGCATAAATCTAGAACTTTCTACATACTTTCTTTCTATAAATCTACACTTTTCAAATCGTTTTTCATTTCCTCGTATGTTACAAAAAAAACATTTGGTTCGTGGCGCATTTGATGAAAGTCCAAGACATGCGACCAGTATGAAGTGAATATAATGCGATCCTCGATAAACTGATTTGTGAACTCCTCCAAACTTCCCTCCCAGAGTCCTATGCCGGTTAGGAAATGGTAAGAAGAAACAAGAACATCCTTTGGATTGCGAGCCACGTATATAATTTTCCTTTTTTTCAACCAAATCTGTTTGGGCAGCAACTGGGCTGGTAAGTGGGTTTTAATGAGACGGGGATCGTCCTTCAAGTTATCGCACAAAGATATGTTATCCACAGTGACCTTGTTGTCTATGGCAGAGTGTCTGAAAATGAAGGGTTTTACTTTTCACTATAATTCCAATGCCAAGAGTACTTACTCGATATGGGGACTGCGTCTCAGTAAAAAACTTGACCTGGCCCTCTCAAAATCTAGATTATTTAGCAAAAGCCAGGCCAACTCCTGCATCCAGGTTGTCCCACATTTCATAAAAGTCACCACAAAAACATCACTTTCCCTCGTCTCAAAGTTGTGGATTCTTTTGGCAAAATCTTGGTCGTAAGCCTCGGGCAAAGTGCACCATCGATTGGTCTCTTCCTGGTTTAAAGGCATCCAGTCTGGTACTAGTGTTTGTAACTGAATCATTGGCCGTGTGGCCAAGGACTTTAATATTTTACTTGAATACATATCTTCTCTTTATAAAACGTCTGATTACGTTGGATTTCTAACTAGAACTGTTACTATAAGCTTTGTAAATATAATAAAACTATACCTTGAACTGATAAGGTAAACTATAAATGATAAGGTTCGTAACAAAGGGGTAACTAAGAAAAAGCTTCTTTGCTTATATAAATTATTATACGTACTTTTATTATACTACACCATAAAATGTACACTATGTATATGAACAAATCTTATAAAGATCTTTTAGATTTCTCCACATTTTTTGTTATTATTCTTGTTTTTTTGTTATATGCTTAAAGCCACCCATTTTCCCATTTTCCAGTAAGATTATTATATTTGCTCAGCTTTGTATTACCATTTTCTTCTAGCCACATAGCCACTTGATAAATTCCACCCCCGACACCTGACACATACGTGCGCATTATGCATCCATCATTACTCATGCCATAAACGGAATCCACTTAATCTCCCAACGAAACATCCAAACATTTATTAAAGACATCGCACCACGAGGGGGATCAGAAACTGCAACAAAAGGTACAATTTATAGTTCGACACCCTTCGAGAATGAAGCCAACCCCAAAAGAATTCGTTTTGGGGGCGACGGCGCACGCCAAGGACATTGGGTGGGTGGTGAAAATGTAATTGCCGCCGCCCCAAAATTTGGCAAAGACCTTGAAAAAGCTAGAAATGGGGAGATGAATGATAGAACTTTAAGCTCAAACGCCCGGCCGTATGCAATGAATATTTACGAGGAGGTCCTCTGAGGATTACATTGTCGGGCTTTTGGGCCTTTGGGTCCCGGCTCACGACTTTATGCAATTGCGCGCGAGTAAAAATCTAATTTATCTGCCCACCACCACCCCCACGTTTTGTTTGACAATTGCCTGAAATGATGGCAATGCATTGGCATGGTGTTGGTGTTGGGCTCCGTATTCCACCGGCACGTAATTCTTCCGGGGGAATTCCCAGACTAAAGCAGCCTCAAAAAAATTGCTTCGCTTACGCATATCAATGCACCCTTTTCCAGGGATTTGGGGTGGCTGCGTCCTTGGTGGTGGGTGGCTACCGTACCATTGGCCAGTGGGTGGTGGGTTGGTTGGTTGGTTTCTATTCCCCGACCTCATCATAACACCACATGTTCCGAAATTTCAGCGGCGTCGTGGCGTCTACTTCATGTAGATTTCTATCTATTCTATTGTCTGACTTTGTCGCATCCCGAATTTCAGCATTCATTTGGGTTGATGAGGCGCAAAGTTGTGGAATTTATTGCGTACGGGAAAGAAGTTAAGTGGATTTTACGTAAATTAATGAGCCAGCCTCCGGGGGTGGAACTGCAGCCCGGGGCTATTTAAATTGCTATACAGAAGGTTCTAAAATTAAATAGGGTATAGGAATGCGGGAAGTGCGGGATTGATTGTATAGGATCGCAGAAGAGATCTCTCCAGGATCGTTGTTCCCTCTTGCATAGTTATTGCTCTACTGATTTATGCGGAAAATAATAAACATCAACTGGATGCCATAAAACATTAAGAGCGGCATCAGACTAACATTCTAGTGTCTTTAGTTGCTACATCTGTAAAAACTACTAACTAGTTTTCAAATTAGAGGATTAAATTAAGATATATTAGATACCTTTCCTAGACCATACCTTAGAAGACTGAGAACTATATTAGCTTGGGACTAAATTATTAATCCTTACTACTTTTTTCTTGCTGTGTATCCATCACAGTGGACACACAAAGCACCCACTATAAATTTCACTTATCAAAGTTTTCGCTAGCCGGCGGAGACCAAAAATCGAGCAAAGAAAGGACCCGACGACGAGGGCCATTCGAAAAAAGCATCTGAAAAGAAACCACGACAACGACTAACTTTATTGCTCAGCTCCAGATACAGATACAGATACTCGTGCTATACTTCACGCACAGGAGGCGAGACAAACTGGGCAAAATTAAATGTCTTTTGTCAACAGACGTTGCGAAAAGAACACTGGCCACCATTACGCCGGGACTGGAGATGGCGCTGGCCCTGAAGCCGAAGCCGAAGCTGGAGGAGGAGCAGCAGAATCTGGTCGAAGAACGGACAATGACGCACTTTTTGGCCAGAAGTTTGCCACTCTGATATGCATTAAAAGCGAATCGGAACAGGGTGGGGGCTTGGGGTGGGAGGATGTCCAGGCCGGGATGCCTTGGCGAACTCCAATGGAGCGCAGAGCAATCTCACTGTGCAAACTGGCATCATAATGGGCCACTTATCATGGCAATCACTCAGCAGTCAGCCGGCGGAGTTCGGAGTTCGCCCCAGGGTCTTCTTAATACACTGCAATGAAATTGGGTATAGAAATTTGTATTTTCGGTAAACTAATCCTATAAATCTATTATTAATCTTCATATTTAATGGTTTCAAACAACCGAAAAACTTTATTTGATTCCGTTCTCAAGTTTCAGATCTTTATTGCTCATTAGTTTATAATTTTGTCATTAATTTATTGATTATAATAACAATATTTTTCTCTCTGCACTGCTAAAGACTGCTGCAACTCCAGAGCTCTATGGGAGTGGACAACCCGAGATACTCGTGCCTCATTTCTTGCCTCCAGCTTTGCTTTACTACTTTCCGATACTCAATCGTCGTTTGCCTTTTAATACTTTGGGCAAACACATTAAATGGAAATTTCGTGCAAGAAGACCGACACCACCACCCTCGATGGAACTGAAGAATAGGATGTCATCCACCGGAGGCTGGGATGAGGGCGAGGACGAGTGCTTGAGGGAGCGCTTTTCCGATATTTCCGATGGGTGGGTGGGTATGCCATGCAAAGTGCCGGCATTTTTGGGCAAACAGCAAACGCATTTTTTATGTGACATTTGTAAAAAAAAAAAAAACCTGAAAAAGCAAAACAAACTAAAGTCCAAGCGTAGGGCTTTCAGCCGACTGTTTGATCTCTTCACATTGCATTTCCAGAGGAATCCCAAGCATCACCCAGCACCCACATAACCACCCATCTTGCTGGCATGGAAAATACTTGCGTCAATATCCCCGAAAAACAGTTTGGACATTTTTTCTCGTTTCGAGTGTTTTATAAATAAAAGTTTGCTTTTTCTCACTCTGTGTTCCCTGCCGCTGCTCGGAGGGAAAAATTTCTGCGTGTTTACTTTGAAAATTGCTGTGATTCAGGCCAGTTCGTTTGCATTCCTTCCAAGCAGGAAATAAAAAAAAGAGATTGGGTGGAGGAAAGTGGGTGAAGAGCTCAAGAGGCGTCTCCTAAGGGGGTTTAAAATTGAATGATTGTTGAATTAGCAGATTAAAATTATTCGTCCTTGGGCGATGGCCAAAACGAATACTTTTAGGTGTTTGTGGTTGAGATTATAAGAAATCAAAAGAAAATCAGTCAAATAATATACGATTTAAAGGTAAATACATCAGAATAAACATCATTATGCTTATATGCTTAAATGAAATAAAACCTCTCCTATTATTGTTCTAAAACTTATTAAATTTTTGATCAAAATTGAAGGTCAACAATTTTCGTATATGGTCTATAGAAAAATAGAAATTCGAATCTTTTTTATCCCCCGATTAATCTTAAGTGTTTGCTTACACTTATAAATTCGATCTGTTCTAAGATAAATATACTCTCCCGACCCCCAAACAAAAGCTATTTTAAATTCAAGTTCAAGTTGTCTGTATCTAGTAAGGCAATCGCATTTGTATCTAGATATGTGGCCACTCAAGACCCGTCACTCGGCATCTGAGGGATCCTAATTAATTGTCAAACATTGCGCGCTATGTGACGTTAATAAATGTCAACTAAATGAGCTGCATGTACACCCATCGAGGCGAGACGAACTACTGGAATGGATGTGGTTCAGGATCGGGGATTGTGGGCTGTGGAGAGATGCTGGCAGTGCCAGAGGCAAGAGGCAAGAGCAAGAGGATGAGGATGAATCCCTAAACAGATGCTGATGAGGCAGACTGGGGCTACTTAGTGGCGGTGGCAATGCCACATGTTGCACTCGCCGCCGAAAACAAATGAAAACTATTTTAAGCCGATTGTCTGTCTGTCGAGTGGCAGGCAGGTGTGACTTGCAACTTGGCATCCCAGCGTCTTCAGCCTCCTTAAGATGTGCCCCTTCCGCCCCTCCTGCCACTGATGCCTCTCTGTTTACCAAATTAGATGCATTTGAATTGATGTGCGTGCATAAATTACATCTCAAATCCGTATCTCCATCTCGGTTGGTTTGTTTTTTGGGGTGGGGATGGGGAGGTTTGGGGCTATCCTTGTTCCTGGATCCCTGCCGTTGGACAAGTTTAAATTAAATGTTTAACATTCAATCAGGGACGACGTCCAAACCCTTGACACCTCCCATCCCCCGCCGCCAATGATGCTCTGTCTGTGTCAGCAGTTGCAATGCATTTGTAAACTTTTCTATTTGTCAGATGCGAACTGTGAACTTTGAGATACGAGCTGGGCGAGGTACATAAACTTATTCGCTCGCTCACCCCGCTCCTGGGTCTGTAATCAAGGCAACTTCCTGCCTGCCGCTTTCACACTTTAATTTCCGGTCCTTATTGTTATAGTTTCTTTGGGTTTGTGTTACGGTTTGCGGGCCAAGTTCAGTTCTGGCTGAGTTCGGTCGACAGGCTCTGTATGGTTCAAGTGGTTTCGGTGATCTGTCATCCGAGGACGGGAATCTAAGTGTGTCTGAGCTGTGGACAACCGCGTCTCGGAATTGAAAAGTTAGACGCAAAAATTAATTACCATAAAGGTGTTGGGAGACTAAGACACAGACTAGAAGTGACAAATTGTTAGTCTAGTACTTACTGAGGGGTGAGCTTAGGGGTTATTTTTAGAAGTTAAATATTGGTTAATAAAATGCAGAAATAAGAACCGAATCCTCACTAACAATAAGTACTAGATAATGAGGTTGCAAGTGTTGTACTCGAGCCGAATGTGCAGCCCTTGCGGGAAGTGAAACTTTCCCCAGCTTCCTGATATATCATTGACATATCATCTCACCGAACTTTAG